AACTTCTTTTGATGTTAGATATGGACAATGATGATATGATATCACTTAGAATTGTTTCATTTTTGTTGATCTCGAAGTAAGTGATTCTGTTTCTATATAAGTTAAAGTTTTATTGCATGTTCTTCCTTTGTCTTGTTATATCTACTCAGTACTATTAATCTCATGTTCACATTGGCTTTGAAATTGCTGCATACATGGTATTGCATTCTGTGGAGGTGGTTTGGTTATTTCCGTTACAACTTTATCTGAATTCAATAATTTTAATTTTGAGTTTATTTTATGATATTTTTTTTACTTTTCCTATTATCTCGAATATAATATTTAAATAAATATTGTATTTTTTGGTTCGACATAATAAAATTAAAATTTAGGTCGCAACAAAATGCAAGAGGTAACAACAATCAGAACAAGATCACACCATAAATGTGAAATGGCAGTAGGTAGTAGTGGTTTTGAATGAAGTTATTTATGAAATCTAAATATTTATTTGGTTCTTGAGGAAAAAGAGTTTATAATAAAACGTTTTTCATTCAACGTCATCTTTTAATTTTCTGACAACTGGTCTAATTATATTTTTTTATAAAAAAAAACTTTATTAACTTTTGTTCTTTTGTAAATAAATTCAAAACTTGACCACTAAGTTTATGCTATTTCTTTTTCTTTGGTAGCTATTGTTGCAGGTTGGTCTAATCTAAAAAACTCAAGTGAACCCAAAGTTTTATGCAGGGATTAGTTATATATGTATTAGATATTCCATCTTCTATGCTGCATGAAACAATACAAATATTTCCTTTTAACTTATACATGTACTAGGTAAATATTTTGCGCTTCGCGCGGTCATAAATATTAATTGTATTGAACTTGCAAATAATTTTTTACTAATATCCATACATTAAAATTAATTGAAAAGTAGGTTATTACAAAAATATTTGCAATATACCGACATGAATTTGATTATTTGTCATTATCAAATAAGTCAAGAACCTCTAATGAATTAATTATTCACGATATAATAAATCACTGGTTCATTAATCATCTTTGAAAGGAAAATAAAGAAGAAAATATGAATATACATACAAAGGCGTTTCGTAATAAAAAGAAACATTTAACTTGCACAAATTATACAATTGTGAAATATGTCTAAGAGGAAAATTTAAATGTTTTTAACTTATTTAAAAAAGAAATTATGCTTACACATGAAATCAATCATAACTTTCAAACTTGCATAATGAATATCTTCAATTGATAAGTGAGAGATGTCATATTTATGTAAGAAAAGATTATATGTAAGCTTATATATAGTACTTTTACAGTAATTATTTTCTGTATAATAAACATACGTACTATATGTGTATATTTTTAATATAACAGGAGAATAATTTTGCAAAAACATAAAAAAAAAGTTTAAAAATGTACTCAACAACAACAATTAATATCATTAACATAAATTAATGAGTGTTAAAAGACATATCTGGATATGTATAAATTGAGTGAAATATAAAAGAAAAAGTCATGTCCACTGAATACACAATGTCCACTTAAGAAAACTATTCCCTTCAAGTACAAAGGTTTAAAGAATTACATTCCTTAGGATAAAACAATTTTATTTACCAACTTATTTAAAAAAAATGGTGTTAGTAAGTCACTCAAAAGGAGCAAAGTACAACAATATTAAATTTTGCGGAAGTAGAAGTAGAAGATCAGAAATTTGTTGTTTTAAAATGTGAGGAAATCCTTCTATTTATAAACAAAAAGGGTAATGTGAACAAATGTTTACTGTACCTTATTAGAAATGATACAACTATTTGGAAAATTCGCAACCCTTCAGAAAGTTCACAACCCTTCATAAAAGTAAAAAAAAACTTCATAAAGTCGCAACATTTCATTAAAGTCATAACTTTTGATAAAAGTCACAACTCTTCATAAAAGTCACAATCTTTCATAAAAGTCACAACTTTTGATAAAAGCTACAACTCTTCATTAAAGTCGCAACTTTTCATGAAAGATGAAGGCTATTTTTGAAAATAAATAAATTTAAAAGGAAATTCTTGCTTGTGGTGGCGCCACGTAGACAGGCCTATAGATCTCTTTTATATAAATATATGATTATTAATTATGTTTGTTTCTAAATTGTCATCCAAACCTCATATTCATTTTATACATGAATAATTTATTTTCTATATACTTATCAAGTTTGATTAAAACCATGATACTTATTTCTCAAGCCTCAACTAAAAAATACCTTCCCTAGTCTTCTTCTTCCGTATATTTCTCAATTTAAGACATGTTACTCTCCTTTGATCGATACTATCTTTTTATGTGTCCTATTTTACCACATTTAGCATCGCAGAGGTTCTTATCATAATAGTTAGGAGATCTTCTTTTTCTCCAAGGGAACTTGAACCATTCGAGGATCGATAGTACGTCATATCTCTCACTTTTTCTTTGAAGTTTATCTTGTTGGCTACAAGAGCATATCCTTCTCCATCTTTGACAAACACACTAGCTAACTGCTTGACTAGTGATTCTTGTAATGACAACAAATTTTCAAATTCCTCTAGAGAATGGTTGTTCAGCCCATAAATGGAATATATTCAGGTTTCAACACGAATGACTATTCTTCTCCTTCGTGCTTCAAAAATAACCTCTTCCTAATTCAACAAAGATGTCTGAGAACATAAGTTCTTAATCATCAAAAAACTACTATGTGATAGAAAGGTTACCTTGAGTGGTGGTAGCTAATCTATTCTCCAACATCTGTAGCCGAGCTTCATTCTTCTTATTTAATTAGCGATCGAGGGTCCTCCATATTTCTTAAGCTGATTTGCACCTTATAATATGATCAATTGAACAGGAGGAGATTGTCCTCTTCAGAATGAACTCCACGTTTTGATTAACCTACTTCCACTTCTTGTATGAACTGTTGTTTTCTGGTTAGTCAGCAAGAGGAGTTATGTAATTTCCTTTAAAAACATCCCATAAATCATCTCTCACAAGGTATGATTTCATACATGTCTTCCACACCTTGTAATTGGACTGATTCAATAAGTCCATCCTCAGTCCATTAACACGACCGCTAAAATCCATCTACTCAAACAAGTTGAGTCGTTACCAACAAGATCTTGAAATAACACTCGTAATTCAATCTACGACTATTTCTACGATACCATGTAAAGAATAGCAGGAGAGAAGTATAATCGAGGATTCCTTCTACTATCTCAAGACCGTTAACTAAGACCATACGGTTCAACTAAGGAAATGGAAGCTAGAAGGGAGAAGCAATATTTTGGATAAAACAACTTTGTTATAGAAAAAGACTATTTGATTTAGGTTTTTCATGGTTGCTTACAAAGGACTATGGCCACCCTATTTATACTAGTGTAGTAATGCTTCTAGAAATTAACCTAGATAGATCTACAAAAAAAATCTAGAAGACCCTATCTTCTAAATATCTAACAAGAATCTAGATTATTATATTTTTTACCATAAGTATCGAATTATCTAGAAAATCTAGTTTTTTATTAAGTATAAATATCAAAGATATTTACGTGCACCTAAAAAAAATCAACTTTAATTTTTCATAAATTCTTTATGATAATTTCTACACCATTTTTGAATATAATCATACGGGTTAACTTAATCTTTGCAAAAGTAATACCGGCATTGATTTGTGAAAGGTCAAAGAGTCTGCATGGGAAACATTTATTATCAATAAATGAGCTTTGATTAAAATCTTTTCTTATAAATATTAACTTCCTTGTTCGCTCTTATTTGAATGCAAATAACTTTGTCTCTTTAAGTGAAACCTTTTAGTGGGAAATGAGCAATATTATATATAAGTATCATCGTTACTCTTGAATGAAACGACGAATGTTTTTCAACGTCATATGTTGTAGACATGGTTAGATTGTATTGAATATGATGGCATCATCAATTATCCAATTGATAATAACCCTTTAAGCGATTTCCTCACTATGCGCTCTGGACATTGTGGAAAAATTTTTGGTTAAAAGAACTAGAAGTTGATAAGTTATATTATAATTAGATAGTGATAAGATATACTGCTTCATGACGGTAAGTTGGAATTTAGGGCCATTGGTAGGCCATTCACATAATTGTTACAAAGATTAAATTATCTTAAGTACATAGTTCCTAAATTGTCTGCCCATACTAATCCTGTTACAAATAGTGGAGGAGCTGTTAAAAAGGTTGGTTTTTTAAAAGTTTTGCATTTAAGGCCTTCATTACTAAGCATGTCCACCCCCTTGTTGTTCTCCATGAAGATGTGTGTTGGCATCGCTGCTCCCGGTTTCTCCATCTGTTACCTGCATTCAAAAATTAAATTAGTGTAAGATTGATTATCATGTTCCAGTAAATTGATCATTTTCGAGGAGTATGTGTTGATATCTAGGGGATGAAGTTTATTTTCCACAAAACCACAAGGAGTCCTCGTCTTAGGGCTCTTTGCTCGGCCAATATTGGACTGACATGTGCTTATTTACTTATGAATCGAATTGTCCAGTCACCTCTGTAGTTTTTGGTACCCCTACTAAGACTCCTTGTCGAGGATTAGTTTTCACAACTCCATTAATGTTGAGTTTGAACTTTAAACCTACATGTTAATAGAGGTTCTTGTTTAACCTGGATAATGCATTTCTCTTTATTAGCCTTGTGGTTAACCTGAATGATTTTGAACTCAGTGGCTAGGTTGATCATGTTGGTGAAGGAGATGTTGCCTTTTTTAATTGAAGAGGTGGTTATTTCTTTGGAGGCAAATGGTCAAGAGGCATTCAGGGAGGAAAACATCCCAAAGAATAATATTGTTGTACTCTTTAGTGGCAATTGAGTTCTAGGTGTTATGTCAATTCTCCAGGAAGAGCATGCTTCTATCAATCTTATGCATCGAGCTATTTCTCACCATGATGGTATCCCATAATTCAATAACTTTGGTACATCTGAAGAAGATATGGTCTGTGTCCTCATTTTGGTCGCCACACATATTTGACAACCAGGGTTGATATCATAGCCAATATATATAAGGTATTGGGAGCAAAGGATTTTTTTTTGGTGATACATGAGCTAGATGAAGGTTTTGATTTTGTTTGGACCTGTAATGTTCCGAATCCAGTCAAACTTCTTAATTCCTTGATTTGGCATGGAGTGAGTGGTTTTTGAGTGGATAAGCTTATAGGCACTATTGGTGGCAAACTTACTATTACTTTTGAGGATATAGAGTCTTGGCGATATCTAAAGCGACCATTGCTTTTCAACGTACGTCTAGGGCATGTGGAGTTCGCGTTAAGATTAATCTAAAATGACTAATCATGTCTAGTGTTGAGGATGATGTCATGATTGTTTCCTGAGGTAACGACAACCCTTTATTTTCACTAACTACCTTCGGTCTCTTTTCTTTCTGATACATTTATTACCGACAGAAGTAGTTTTCTCATTTTCGGTAAAATTTTCAAAAGTTGTCTGTAAGTGGAAATTTTTAGGTTGGAAATTTTTCCGTACAATTTTCAAAAGTTACTCTAAAATGGGGAATGTCTTTTCAGTTTCATGTCTGGGACACATGGAGAGATCATATTGAGAATGATCTCGTCGTCGGTTATCAAGGTAATTATTTATGACCTTTGCTTAAGAATATCAACTCCGTTCACCCTTTCTAATGACAACCTTTGCTTATTGAAATGGAGGGAAATACTGATTGTATCATTTAGTTAAATTATTTCAGACATTTTCCATAAAATTTAGTAAAATTGAAATAAATCAATACGAGATATTGGTACCATTAATTTAAAAAACTAATGTGCTACAACAACATTTATAAATTATGTTTATTTTTTAAAAGTCATCTAACTATAATTACTTTTATTTGAAATATACTAGAAAGACTCATTAGATCCTATGAATTGGATATATGTTTTACTTCTTTGACTTATATCCAACCATGCCAAAGATTTGTGGATTTTCACATTGACTATATGTATTATACAATAAATACTTCAACAAACTCCTTTAAAATGGAAAAAAGTTTTAAATTACATTTTATTTATGGATGAGTTGGACATTAAATACAGTGTACTAACCATAATTTCCATCAAGTCAGTGACTCTATATAATGAATCCAAAGTTTAGTGTTTGGCACCCCAAACAAAAACAACTCATTGCTTCTCCTAAATGAAGTTTACCCTTTCTTTATGCCTTTTCAAACTCTTTAGTGAGTGAACCTTTTGATTTTGGATTTAACTTTTGTTAAATCGAGTTTCTTTCTTGATATAAAGAATCCATTTTTTTCACTTTTTGTACGACCCCTTTTTTAATTGTCTTGATTTTATTTTTGGGATGAGTTTATTTGAGTTTCAAAAGATTGTTTTATAATTGGTTTCTTGCTAGAGTTTGAGCTTTGAAGTTTTCTGTGTTCGTCTTTGATATTGCTTGTTTTGTTGGATAGAGGTTGAACAGTTTCTTTTTTGCCACTTTTGATGAGTGAATTTTTTTTCATTAGAAATTTATGTTTTTTTAATTTATTTGAGTGCATATTTAATTATTTTTTTTTGCAGAAAATGATGTTTTTTATATATATTTAAGCGATTTTGGGGAAAAAATCTTTTGACTGAGAGGAATATTTTATTTTTCTTGTATATCCATTTGCTTTGATAACATTGCTGCTTTTAGTATGATTACTAGAGTTGTTTTTTGTTGTTCACAATTTTGTTTGAATAATGAATACTAATTTTCCCTTTTGTTTTGGCAATTTTTAATTTCTCTGTTGCTATGTTTCTTATCAATTTTAACGGCCGGATTTCCACTGAATGTTGTTACATTGAAGAATAGAGATTTAAGTAACTGAAATGTAGTAGAATTTGTAATCTCAAAGAATATTAATTCTTTTGCAGCTTCACATGTATGATAATATTGTTGGTTCATTGAGCTAAACTGGAGTTCTTATTGTTTTTAGCCTGTCTTTGGGGTTCCACATATATGATAAATATTTCTGCTTTGTTTGTCTCACTGGAATTGTTCCTCTTTCTATTAGCCTGTCATTTTGTTTTTTCTTTTATTTATCCTATCAAAGAATTATTATCTACTTCTTTTTTGTTTAGCTACTCTAATTCTCTGTTTTTATGTTTTTATCTTTAACTTATAATCCACTCATGTCCATATTATCACTTGAATGAATTTTGTTGCAGGAGCGAAACTATTACAGCAGTAATAAACACTCAAAGATAACATAATCAACATGGTTGATGATAACATCAGTGATGATGCGGATGAAAAGTCGTTGGCGATTTCAGATAAGGAAAAAGGAAGCAGGAACAAGAGGAAGTTTGAATCTAAGATTCCTCTTGGAACTTCTTCTGATTCACATGGGTCGTCTCTTACGGAGTTTCAAAAATCTGATTTATTAGAGAAACCAACGAAAGGAGTCACTCTATTTGAGTTTGACCCATTGACGAGCAGGTGTCCTCAGTATGATGCTGAACAAGAAGTGGAAACTGCACCAAATATAGATTCTGAGGACATGTCGGCCTACTGTAGTTTTGTTTTGGACAAGAAACTGGACTCGTCTTTTTCTGGTGCAACAAGGAAGAGTTCGCACTCTAAAATGAAAATTTTGGTTAAATGCAATCAACCTCTAGCTAAAGAAAGTTTTGATAGTCAATGCCTTTCCTCACCCATAGCACCTGCAAGTGACACTTCCAAAGTGCCACCTATTACAGATAATATAAGTGAAAAGGATCTGGATTCATTATCCATGGAGCCTAAGTCCAGCAAAAAAATCCCCGCTAACACAACTATTTCTTCTGCGGTGCAGGATTATTTTGTTGGTATCCCATATGATGAGTCTTTGGGTAAATATGTCCCTCGAAATGAGAGAGATGAAACTATATTATTTCTAACTTCTCATTTGAAGACACTGCAGGAAGAGCTCCAAGGGTGGTCTGATTGGGCAAATGAGAAGGTAATGCAGGCTACCCGGAGGCTTTGCAAGGACCAGGCTGAGCTTAAAAGGATGAGGCAAGAAAAAGAAGATGCTGAAAATGTTCACCAGGAAAAGAATATGCTGGAGGAAACCACCATGAGGAGGATTATGGAGATGGAGCAAGCGTTGGTAAATACTAATTCCATGGGTGAGACAATTAATTCTCTTCTTAACACCTTGGAGATGGATAATGTTGGACTGAAGAAGGATTTAGAAGCCGTAATGCCCTCTGCCGGCAAGCATGCTATGAACGTCAATAATGCTTTAGCAAAAGAGCAGGAAGCACTAAAGAAGTGTCAAGCAGCGGACATGGAGAAGCGCTCATTTGACGAGGATTTATCTGCTATCAAGCAGGAAAAAACTTCTTTGCAACAGCAGCAAGAGAAAGCCAACAAGGTTCTGCACCAATATAAGGTATATTTATTCTACAAATTAAACTTATTTTCCTAGTTGATCAAGGTAAAATGTTTCTTTTACAAATATAGTTCGTGTGTTAGAGTCCTTACACTGTTAATAACTTGTTTTTTTTTACTTATTGCCTTTGGTAATAGTGGTTCAAGCTTTCACTTATGCAGCCCTACAGATAATGCATTTGCTATTTGATATTCCATCTATTATGAAAATAAATTTGTAAATATTTATGAATTTCAGGATCTATTTAATCATGAGGAATCGGTGAAACAAAAATTTCAACAACAAGTTGATTGTCTGAAAAATGAAAGAGAACAACTCCGTGTTAAGGGAAAAGTGCAGCGGCATAATTTTAGAGAGAAAGTAGAGAGAAACAAGCAAAAGTATAAAGAAGAAACACAAAAGTGTGAGAGTGAAATTTCTCAGTTGAGATTCCAATCTCAAAGATCAATAACAGAGGCACTCAAACGAGGCATTCCTCAATTGACAAAGGGTTTATCAACCTATGCAGAAAGTTCAGACTCTAATGTTGTAAAGATGGAGAGGGAGTGTGTTATGTGTATGCATGAACATATATCAGTGGTCTTTCTCCCTTGTGCACATCAAGTTCTTTGTGAAGATTGCAATGTGCTTCATCAAAAGAAAGGAATGGACGAATGCCCTTCTTGTAGGACACCAATTAAGGAGAGAATTAGTGTCCATTTTCCTGATTCCGAATAGTTAGCAACTTCAGAATAGCAGCAGGAAAATGAAGCTTGTCATTATTTTTTTTTCAGAAAAAGTTTCTTCTTTCTTCTGGCCTTTCTTTCCTAACGTAACTGTAATAAATATTAGGAAAATGCAAAAAAGGTATAGAGATATGTAGAAAGTACATGTCAGAAGAGTTAGAAAGAGGGAGACCTGCTTAATGGTTGTAGTAAATCCTCAACTTTGATGGTTTAAAAAATAATGTTGTTCTACGTGCTTTAACTTAATCTACATACTTTTTTTTTAATTTAACCATTTGTTATTTAAAACGTAACATCCTACTAATTTTATTCGCCCAAGGGGTAAATTTTCGTTCACACGATTCAAACTTTAGATATCTTATTCCCATTTTCCTTTATACCACTTCCCAAGCCAAACAAATTACTTCTTTGCCACATTCTATTAACTTACACCGGTTTCCTAACCTTGTTCTTCAAAATTAACTCCATATGATATAGAGTAGTTGGATCTTGATTGTCTACTAGCAAGAAGTGGAACTTCTTTTGATGTTAGATATGGAAAAAGAAGATATGATATCACTTAGAATTGTTTCATTTTTGTTGATCTCGAAGTAAGCTATTCTGTTTCTATATTAGTTAAAATTTTATTGCATGTTCTTCCTTTGTCTTGTTGTATCTACTCAGTACTATTAATCTCATGTTCACATTGGCTTTGAAATTGCTGCATACATGGTATTGCATTCTGTGGATGTGGTTTTGTTATTTCTGTTACAACTTTATCTGAATTCAATAATTTTAATTTTGAGTTTCTTTTATGATTTTTTTTTTTACTTTTCCTATTATCTCGAATATAATATTTAAATAAATTGTATTGTATTTTTTGGTTAGACATATTAAAATTAAAATTTAGGTCGTAACAAAATGCAAGAGTAACAACAATCAAAACTAGATCACACCATAAATGTGAAATGGCAGTAGGTAGTAGTGGTTTTGAATGAAGTTATTTATGAAATCTAAATATTTATTTGGTTCTTGAGGAAAAAGAGTTTATAATAAAACGTTTTTCATTCAACGTCATCTTTTAATTTACTGACAACTGGTCTAATTTTTTTTTTTAAAAAAACTTTATAAACTTTTGTTCTTTTGTAAATAAATTCAAAACTTGACCACTAAGTTTATGCTATTTCTTTTTCTTTGGTAGCTATTGTTGCAGGTTGGTCTAATCTAAAAAACCTCAAGTGAACCCAAAGTTTTATTGAGGGATTAGTTATATATGTATTAGATATTCCATCTTCTATGCTGCATGAAACAATACAAATATTTCCTTTTAACTTATATATGTACTAGGTAAATATTTGGCGCTTCGCGCGGTCATAAATAATAATTGCATTGAATTTGCAAATAATTTTGTACTAATATCCATACATTAAAAGTAATTGAAAAGTTGGTTATTACAAAAATATTAAAATATACCGACATAAATTTGATTATTTGTCATTATCACATAAGTAAAGAACCTCTAATGAATAAATTATTCACGATATAATAAATCACTGGTTCATTAATCAACATTGAAAGGAAAATAAAGAAGAAAATATGAATATACATACAAAGGCGTTTCGTAATAAAAAGAAACATTTAACTTGCACAAATTATACAATTGTGAAATATGTCTAAGTGGAAAATTTAAATGTTTTTAACTTACTTAAAAAAGAAATTATGCTTACACTTGAAATCAATTATAACTTTCAAACTTGTATAATGAATATCTTCAATTGATAAGTGAGAAATGTCATATTTATGTAAGAAAAGATTATATGTAAGCTTATATATAGTACTTTTACAGTAATTATTTTCTGTATAATAAATATACGTACTATATGTGTATATTTTCAATATAACAGGAGAATAATTTTGCAAAAACATAAAAAACAAAGTTTAAAAATGTACTCAACAACAACAATTAATATCATTAACATAAATTAATGAGTGTTAAAAGACATATCAGGATATGTATAAATAGAATGAAATATAAAAGAAAAAATCATGTCCACTGAATACACAATGTCCACTTAAGAAAACTATTCCCTTCAAGTACAAAGGTTTAAAGAATTACATCCTCTTAGGATAGAACAATTTTATTTACCAATTTATTTAAAATAAAAACGGTGTTAGTAAGTCACTCAAAAGGAGCAAAGTACAAAAATATTAAATTTTGCGGAAGTAAAAGTAGAAGATCAGAAATTTGTTGTTTTAAAATGTGAGGAAATCCTTCTATTTATAAACAAAAAGGGTAATATGAACAAATGTTTATTGTACCTTATTAAAAATGATACAACTATTTGGAAACTTTGCGACCCTTCAGAAAATTCACAACCCTTCATAAAAGTAAAAAAAAACATCATAAAGTCGCAACAATTCATTAAAGTCATAACTTTTGATAAAAGTCACAACTCTTCATAAAAGTCACAATCTTTCATAAAAGTCACAACTTTTGATAAAAGCCGCAACTCTTCATTAAAGTCGCAACTTTTCATGAAAGATGAAGGCTATTTTTGAAAATAAATAAATTTAAAAGGAAATTCTTGCTTTTGGTGGCTCCACGTAGACAAGCCTATAGATCTCTTTATATAAATATATGATTATTAATTATGTTTGTTTCTAAAATTGTCATCCAAACCTCATATTCATTTTATACATGAATAATTTATTTTCTATCTACTTATCAAGTTTGATTGAAACCATAATAGTTATTGCTCAAGCCTCAACTAAAAAATACCTTCCCTAGTCTTCTTCTTCCGTATCTTTCTCAATTTAAGACATGTTACTCTCCTTGGCTCGATACTATCTTTTTATGTGTCCTATTTTACCATATTTAGCATCGGAGAGGTTCTTATCATAATAGTTAGGAGATCTTCTTTTTCTCCAGGGGAACTTGAACCATTCGAGGATCGGGAGTACATCATATCTCTTACTTTTTCTTTGAAGTTTCTCTTGTCGGCTACGAGAGCATATCCTTCTCCATCTTTGACAAAACACTAGCTAACTGCTTGACTAGTAATTCTTGTAATGACAACAAATTTTCAAATTCCTCTAGAGAATGGTTGTTCAGCCCATTCTTAAATCGACGTCACAAATGGAATATATTCGGGTTTTAACACCAATGACTATTCTTCTCCTTCTTGCTTCAAAAATAACCTCTTACTAATTCAACAAAGATGTCTGAGAACATATGTTCTTAATCATCAAAAAACTACTATGTGATAGAAAGGTTACCTTGAGTGGTGTTAGCTAATCCATTCTCCAACATCAGTAGCCGAGCATCATTCTTCTTATTGAATAAGCGGTCAAGGGTCCTCCATATTTCTTAAGATGATTTGCAGCTTATAATATGATCAAATGAAAAGGAGGAGATTGTCCTCTTCAGAATGAACTCCGCATTTTGATTAACCTACTTCCACTTCTTGTATGAACTGCTGTTTTCTGGTTCGTCAGCAAGAGGACTTATGTAATTTCCATTAAAAACATCCCATAAATCATCTCCCACAAGGTATGATTTCATACATGTCTTCCACACCTTGTAATTAGACTGATTCAATAACTCCATTGTCAGTCCATTAACACGACCACTAAAATCCATCTACACAAAAAATTTGAATCGTTACCAACAAGATCTTGAAATAACACTCGTAATTCAATCTACGACTATGGCTACGATACCATGTAAAGAATAGCAGAAGAGAAGTATAATCGGGGATACCTGCTACTATCTGAAGACCGTTAACTAAGATCATACGGTTCAACTAAGATAGAGGAAGCTAGAAGGGAGAAGCAATATTTTGGATAAAACAACTTTGTTATAGAAAAAGACTATTTGATTTAGGTTTTTCATGGTTGCTTACAAATTACTATGGCCACCCTATTTATACTAGTGTAGTAATGCTTCTAGAAATTAACCTAGATAGATCTACAAAAAAAATCTAGAAGACCCTATCTTCTAAATATCTAACAAGAATCTAGATTATTATATACTTTACCATAAGTATCGAATTATCTAGAAAATCTAGTTTTTTTATTAAGTATAAATATTAAAGATATTTACTTGCACCTCCAAAAAATCAACTTTAATTTTTCACAAATTCTTTATGATAATTTCTACACCATTTTTGAATATAATCATACAGGTTAACTTAATCTTTGCAAAAGTAATTATGGCATTGATTTGTGTAAGGTCAAAGAGTCTGCATCGGAAACATTTATTATCAATAAATGAGCTATGATTAAAAAATTTTCTTATAAATATTAACTTTCTTGTTTGCTCTTATTTGAATGCAAATAACTTTGTCACTTTAAGTGAAACCTTTTAGTGGGAAATGAACAATATTATATATAAGTATCATCGTTACTCTTGAATGAAACGGCGAATGTTTTTCAACGTCATATGTTGTACACATGGTTAGATTGTATTGAATATGATGGGATCATCAATTATCCAATTGATAATAACCCTTCAAGCGATTTCCTCACTATGCGCTTTGGACAATTGTGGAAAAATTTTGGGTTAAAAGCCCTAGAAGTTGATAAGTTATATTATAATTAGCTAGTGATAAGATATACTGCTTCATGCCGGTAAGTTGGAGTTTAGGTCCATTGGTAGGCCATTCACATAATTGTTACAAAGATTATATTATCTTAAGTACATAGTTCCTAAATTGCCTGCCCGTACTAATCCTGTTACAAACAGTGGAGGAGCTGTTAAAAAGGTTGGTTTTTTTTTTAAAGTTTTGCATTTAAGGCCTTCATTGCTAAGCATGTCTACCCCCTTGTTGTGCTCCATGAAGATGTGTGTTGGCATCGCTGCTTCCGGTTTCTCCATCTATTACCTGCATTCAAAAATTAAATTAGCGTAAGAGTGATTATCATGTTTCGGTAAATTGATCATTTTCGAGGAGTAGGTGTTGAATATCTAGGGGATGAAGTTTATTTTCCACAAAACCACAAGGATTCCTCGTCTTAGGGATCTTAGCTCGGCCAATATAGGACTGACATGTGCTTATTTACTTATGAATCGAATTGTCCAGTCACCTATGTAGTAGGGGATCGGAGTGTCACGTTCCGACACATAGTAGTAGGAGATCGGAGTGTCACGTACCGACACAAGAGGAATAAAGACTAATGAGGGATCGGAGTGTCACGTACCGACACAAGAGAAATATAGATAATGAATCTTGAAAGATGCTAATATACTCAATCTAAAGAACATGTTTCCCAAAAGAGTATGGTGTGGAGGCTTGAGTCCTCATAGATATGATCAGTAATATTAGAAATGATGCTTATACTTGTTGCTATCACCTGTTAAGAATATTAGTTGATTTTATGATGTTATCTGAGATATATTGCTTTCTATTTTGAGTTGGCCGACGATACCTACTCAGTACTTGTGGTTGTACTGACCCCCCTACGTTTATTGTTTTCTTCTTGTTTATTTGTGGAGTGCAGCAAACGTGCCGTCGTCTTCAACTCAACCGCAATTCTAGCAA